ATCATGGTATGTTCCTCGGTGCACGGTCTTCTGACTCCAGGTCACGCTACAAGTAGAGAGTGTTACTAACCTTGGGGTGGAGAATCAGGCTGGATTCTTCCTGGCTTATACCCTGTCGGTCAAAGAGACCCTGCAGGTCCAGCTGTGTGTCCCAGGGTACTGCGCAGAAGCCACTGGGTGCACTGGCTGGACCAGCGTGGAACTCCTCTTTGGAGGCAGCTCAGAACTTGCCCCCTTTCAGATGAAGACCTGTGTCCAAAGCACTTATTTGTGCATTAATCTTCTGAATAGTGGATAGCTCATGGGTAACGGTATATATTACCTTCCTCAGGCATCTGTAACTCTAGCCAAATCTGTTCTGGAAAGCCAGAATGTGAAGAGCACCACGCTTCCCACGGACTTCAACTATGACCCTAACAACATTCTCCAGCTGTTCCTCAAACCGGCTGTTAAGGTAAGAGTCTTCTCTAAAAGCCTGTTGGCAATAATTCCATGCACAAAACCACTCTTCGCCAAATGCTTGAAGTGTTTTGGGATGCTCCCCACGGCGGGAGGCAGGCCAGTGTGTCTCACGGAACTGACCTGCCTGTCGATGCCGAAGTAGCTGTGCTTAGCTGTTGTGCTCTACAAGGGGTTCGCTAGAGGGCTGGTATGTGAGGAAGAGGAAGAGCCAGCAGGCTGGATAAAGGGGAGGTGATGAAGGAACAAGGCACAGGCATTGCTTGGGGAAGTATTTAGAGTTTTTGCTTTCCTGACCCCTGGTCTTGTCTCTGTAGCTTTGCAGGACATCTGAACCGGACAGCTCATTGGATCACGAAGATGAGATCAACGAGTACGATTACAACAACCCCAATGACACCTCCAATTTCTGCCCTGCATTGCAGGTAAATGGAACGTGAATATTTCCTTCTGTTGCCTATATTTGATATGTGATGGGAATAATTTAGGAATAATCTGTGTCTAGGATTAATTACTCGAGAAAAAGAATTGGAGCTGCAGATCATGACAAAGCTGCAGGAGTCTCTGCATGCACTCCTGTCCCCTCAGTCTAAATGACATCAACCAAACTCTCTGTCTTTGGTGTTTGCCAGCCAGTTTGCTGCAGAAACTCCATCACGGCCTTTTCCATACACCTGTGCCCTAAAGTAGGAGTAAATGCCATTGCTCACCTCTGCAGTCATCTAGTCATCTCTACACAGTGAGGTTTGCTCCTAGCTGTTTGGAGCTCCTGTTGAAATAGATTTCTTCTAAAGCTTCAGCTTTCTGCCAGATCAGTGCTGCCTCTCGAGTGTGTTTGTGACAAGTCTCGGCTGGTCCCACACTGGCAGAAGAGCCCTTGTCTCTGTTACCATTCTGTGTAGAAGTCTTGATAGTCTGCACTCTAGATCTCTCTTGGGTTTAGCCTTAGCCCAGCCTAAGGGCTGTGGGGAGAGGCTGAATAAGAACATGTTCCATGGGGAAGGTGGGCGGGTATCGCCACCCTCCTGAGAGGTGGGTGCTCTTGTTATCTTTGTGCCGGACATCTCTGGCTCCTCAAAGATGTCTCTGGGTGGTCTCACTGCTGTATCTCTTCTTGATCAGGCTGCAGACAGTGATGATGATAATGACATCGTTAAATTCATGAGCCAGACTGGGGAGTTCAACCTTACTGCCCACCCTGAGGGTCAAGATGCTGAGCTCAACAGGGTTGTCGGCAATGATGATATCACAACGTACGGAGAGCTGAACCTCATTGCTGAGCCCCAGAAGGTAAGGACTTGTGTTGTCACCAAGCTGTGAACTGCTCACTGGGCAGATCTGGAGCAAAGCCTCTCAACACCTCGGGTGGTTAGAAGTCCTGAGACAGCAGTTTGCCTGGTGCAGGGTCTCCCAGGTTTGCCACTGGCCACTTTATTCCCAGATGAACCCTTGTGTAAGAAGAGGGAATTAAAAATCAAAGGTTTAGTAGTAAGATAGCATTCACCATTATTCCCAAGGAGAACTATGTTTTGATTGTTCCTGTGGACCTGATTGAGGATAGTGCTGCTACATCCGCTCAATTGCTCTCAATGAACCCTGGACTTCTCTTCCTCAGGTCAATAAGATAGCAATTCAGTATGCAAAGACAGCCAAGAAAATGGACATGAAGCGCTTGAAGAAAAACATGTGGGAACTCTTGACCGATGGACAGAAGAAAGAAACAGTGGCAGAGGTGAGTGCAGGGGAAGCCAGTACCTCAGCCGGCCCGAGGATAAGAGAAAGCCCTGCAGGTAACTGTGCTTAACTCCTGCGGAGACAGTCTTGGGCAGGTTTAGCAGCAGCTCCTTTCTACTAGTCTTGCTCCCATGGGATGGTTGGTAAGGACAGACTGAGTGTAACTTGCAGTGGTTTTTTTCTGAACACAAGGCTGAATACTGGGGAGCAAACTGTCTCGGCAGTGTCTGTCTTTTTGCTAAATAGATGGAAGATGCAGAGAAAGAGAAGGACACATCAGTGGTAGCAGGAGAGAAGGTCTTCAGCGGCATCACAAAGGAACTGCTTCACAGGTAGAGAGGCCCTAAAAAGGGTTGGACTGAAGATGGGGGACAAACTTTAGCTGAGCTTGGGCAAACGCTGACCCCTCTGTGTCTATTACAACCTGCTGACTGAACCCTGATGGGAAAAAAAATCTCTTCTCTTGCTCTCTGGCTTTGCCTGGGGTTGCTACAGGTTGCATTCAGCTTGGCAAATTCTTTGCTACCGGGAGGGGAAAGGTAGAGAAAACCAGATCGCTGGGGAAGACCTGATCTTTGGTGACCTGGTCCTTGCAGGCATGCTCTGTCCATCGGGTTTCAGTAGGCTCTGGCCATCCTAACCGCCTCCCTTCTCTTTTGTAGGCTGCCTTCTGCGATGGCTAACAATCTGTCTGTCCCCTTGGCCTTCACTTGCCTCTTGCATTTGGCAAATGAGAAGGTAAGCACAGCATACTCACAGGAGACCTGGTAGGAGCAGTGGGCAAAACGCGCAGTGAAGAGCACCGGGAGCCAGGCCCTTTTCTTGCTACATCAGGACTTCTCAGCTTAAGTCCCAGTTTCATGCTTATAGTGAACATAAATCAGGCTAGTGCTCTGGGAACGAGACCCTGAGCACTCGTAGCATTTCCAGCCTAACTGCTGTCTGTCCTTCCTTGTCCTTGGGTCTGGCAGCAGAGGGGTGAGCACTTTGTTGCTCCGTGTTGTTCTAAGCGTTGCGCGCCTTTCAGACTCCAAAGCAACAAGTCGATGGGAAGCCTCGGTCTTGTGTATGCTGTTGGTGACAGAAGGGGCTGGGCTGTTCTGAACCTCCCTTGTGTGGGTTTTTTTTTTATGCCAGGCCTTCAGACTCAGAGGGGAAGAGTCTGGCTTTGTCGAACTTAAGCTTTTATTTTACATTCCCAGAATCTGAAGCTGGAGGGCACAGAGGACCTGTCTGATGTCCTAGTGAAACAAGGCAACTGAGCCCTGTGCGGATCAGACCACCGGGACTGACCCCCAGGACAGAGGTCAGCTTCCCCAGCTGACCAGTGCTCCCTCTGGACTGTCTCATCAGTGGCAGATATTTTCTCCTCCCAGCACCGTTGCTGAGAAATTCCGCTGGTCTCTGCCTCTCAGGAAGACTTAAATCAAGGATATACCTACCTAAACATAGGACCCGTACAGATGGACGGTTGCAGCTCAGCCTGCCTGGCTCCTGCCATCTTCAATCTATCGGCTCTTTCCTGGCTCTGGGTAGCAGAGTTTATCCATCTCACTGTGAACCACCAGGGCCTGCTAGCAAAAGGATCCTCTCTGTGTCACTCACTATCTGTAACTCCCAGTTCGTGGACTGACTGTTATTCATGTCTCCAGTTCCTCCTGTAGTCCTGTTCATCCCCTGAAATGATTTACCTTTTATACTGATCTTAAGGATAATAAATTGCTACAGACTTTGTAGATGGGCCTTTGAGATGGGGGAGGAGTAGTCTTCAAAAGAGGAGAGAGGTTAAAATAACACAAGTGTTGGGGCAGCTCCCCAGAGAAAGGTGAGCCAGGAGTCATGGGGCATTGCACGGCCAGAGCATCACCAGCCAGGTCCAGTCCTCTAGTGCCTGAACAATCAGCAGGACCAACCTGGAGATGGTGGCCAGGTTCAACCAAGAGTGGAGATCACCAGGCAAGTTCATGGTGCTGAAGCAGATGCAAGATCAAGCCAGGAAGTCAGGCTGCAGGTCAGGATTGGGTTCAAAGGGGTGAGGCAGGGCAACCACCACTCCCAACACAGCTCAGGCAGGGACTGAAGCCCTTGAGCTGAGCTTCAGTGGAGCCCCTGGGCCATGGGTGTGGGGGTCAAGGCCCCTTGTGAGGCTGGTCAAGGCCATTAGGCCTTATTAGTGCCCTCAGGGCCCTGACGAGGTGGGCAGAGAAGAGCTCTGTGCAGGGTGGTGGAGCCTAGATCTGGCTAGAGCCAGGCCTAGGTGCTGGCCCTGTGCTGCCAACTCTGCCCCCGAGGGCAGCTCTGGGCCAGAGGCTGGGCACAGGACCCCCCCTCCCCGAGAGCTGGCCTGAAGGGGCAGGTTGGGGGCACAGGGCATGCTGGTGGGGCACGAGGCAAAGGTTTTTCAGTAAAATAGTGACAAAACGGGGACTTTCTTCAAGAAAGGATGTATTTCTTTGATTTGCAATTCAGCTGAGGGAAGGTCCACAGGGGAAGCGCCACCAACCCCCTGCCCCGTATCCACTGCTTTGAGACCAGTGGGGGAGACTTCCCGAGGGGTTTTTGGGGCTTCACCCCAGCCCCTCCAGCACAGTGAAGGTGGGCTTGAGCACAGCCACATCTGCCACCCCCAGGCTCCGTACCACATCCTGGCGCTGCCCAGCTGGCGGCCCCTTCCCCCCAGGGCAGCTGCCCCTTGCATTGCCTTTGGGATCCTTCAGTCCCATCTCCCACAAGAGCCGCGAGACTGGTCCAGTAATCTGAGATCCAGTAATCTTGAATAAAGACCTCGAGTCAGCTGCAGCGTAGCATCAGGAGGGGAGGTGGAAGAAGCGGGTGATTCTGTTGCTGCTGTGGGTGCCCTGCAGCCCTCCTCGCCGCTGCGCCGGCAGCGCGTTCCCCAGTTCCTTCTCCAGCATCTGGAGGAGAGAAGCAGCGCTGCCGTGGTCCGTGCTCCACAGCGCGGGAGCTTGCAGTGGGGAGAGGCAGCCCTCCGTCGCATCCTGTGAGCCGGACCAAGACGCGGAGGAGATGCTTTGGGCTGCAGGACCACTCACCTCCTTGCGGGCAGCCAGCCGCTGCTTCCACTCGCCGAGCTCCATCGTGTGCTCCTGGTCCAGCCGCCCCAGCTGCCTCCTCTCCTGCTCTGCCAGGAGGTGCATCTTCTCGCTCTGGGAGAGGGGAGGTGGGAAGGGGAAGGTGCTCGAGGAGAGGCGGTAGCAGGGGTGCGGAAAGCCCCCGGGGGGATAGTTTTGCAGTGGTCCCCAGTACCTGCATGTGCTCCAGCTCTGCCAGGCTCTCAGCCTGCTGCTGCTGCAGTTGCTGCAGCTGCTGCGCCTGCTGTTCCTGCTGCTGCTGTGCCTGCGCTCGCTGCCGCCTCTCCTCCTGCTTCATGAACTGTGGTGGGGGACAGCCTGTGTCACCCTCCCTTCCCCCAAAAGCCATCACTTACAGCTTTCTTCGGGGACTTTCCCCATACTTTGTGCTGGGCAACCTCGCTGGCCCTGAACAGGTCTGTGTACCTGCTTGGCCCTCTCCCTCTGCCTGGCCCCATTAGCCTCCTGGAGCTTCAGGTTGTCCTTGAAGAGGGCCAGGCGGATTTTGGCGTCGCAACGTTGGCTTTTCAGCAGCTGAGCCCGCTCCTGTGCCTGCTGGCTCCTCAGATCCTCCAGCAAGAGCTGGTGGAAGCGGTTCATCCTCTCCGTCTCCTGGGGAAGGGGCAGGACCGTGAGCTGGGAGAGGGAGACCTGAGGTTCTGGGGGAGCCCCACCAGCGGTTCCCACCTCACCTTCTCATGGCGCTTGTGGAGCTGCTGCCGCTGCAGTGTGTGCTGCTCCTTCACCTGCTGCCTGAAGAGCTGGTACTTCTCCTGCAGGTGCCTTTGCTCCATGCTCCACACCACCGACTCGCGGGCTGCCAGGCAAGACCACAGCACTGTGACCACCTCCAAGAACCCCAGCCAGAGCCCCTGCTCCCCTTCCCAAGAACCCTCCATCCTCTTCCTCCCAGCCCAGTCCACCTCTCCTGAGGCTATGGATCTTGCTGGTGCACTCCCAGTCAATGGACGTCATCTTCTTCTTGTGCTCCTGGACGACCCTCTGCAGGGCTGCATTGAGTTCCTCCTGCTGCTGCTGCAGGAACCGCTGCTCCTGTGACAAGCAATGGAGGAGCTTCATCCCAGCACCCAGGGGAGATGGCTCCCCACCTCCTGGTGGCATGGCTCGGGGAGCCAGCATTGCCCCAGACCCTCACCTCTCTCCCATCGCCCTTCAGCTCTTGCGTCCTCCTCCTGCAGTCCTTCTCCTGGAGGGACTTGAGGCACTTGGCCTCATCACGCAGCCTCACCGTGTACTCGAGCTCCTGGCGCTCCTTCAGCTGCCGGTAGTGCCGCTCCAACCTCTCCATCTCCCGGTCATAAAATTCCTTCTTGCTCTGCCATGCAGATATGGTTAACAGGGCTGCAGGGACCAGAAGAAATGGCCACCGAAGCAACCAAACCCTCCCCAGACCCTGGTGTCTCACACAGTGGGACGCCAGCACCCCCTTGCATGGGCCAGGATCTTGTGTCCCTCTCTGACCATCTCATGGCACCAAGGAACAGAATCTCAGAATCACTAAGGTTGGAAAGGACCTTCAAGATCATCAAGTCCAACCATTAATCCAGCACCACCGTGTCCCCTAAACCATGTCCCCACGTGCCACGGCCACACGTTTTTTGAACACTTCCAGTGATGGTGACCCCACCACCTCCCTGGGCAGCCTGTGCCAATGCTTGACCACTCTCTCAGTGAAGATGTTTTTCCTAATCTCCAATCTAAACCTCCCCTGGCACAACGGGAGGCCATTTCCTCTTGTCCTGTCGCTGGTTACTTGGGAGAAGAGACCAACCCCCACCTCACTACAACCCCCTTTCAGGCAGTTGTAGAGAGCGATGAGGGCTCCCCTCAGCCTCCTCTTCTCCAGACCGAACACCCCCAGTTCCCTCAGCCGCTCCCCATCAGACTTGTGCTCCAGACCCCTCCCCAGCTCTGTTGCCGTCTCATCTTTGGACGATGATCCGCTTACCGTCATCTCCTGCTCGATGTGACGAAACATCTGCTCCCGCCGCTGGTGAAACTTCTGCTCCAGCTGGCTCTGAGCTCGCTGCTCTTCCTTCTGCAGCACTCGCAGCTCACGGAGTTCCTGGCGCCTAAAGGTTTGGGGAACGGGGCTGAGAGGGGGCCGAAGGTGGCCCTGGAGGCACCTCTCTCTCCCAGCATGGCTAACTTGGAGGTCTCTAAAGAAAGGGAGAAGCTCAGCCCTGGTGCAGCTTCATGGGGAAGACTTGGAAGATGGGATGCATGTTGGGTCCGTGGTGGCCACACTCCCAAGCTCAGCTGATGTCGCTGCCCCCCATCTCCATCCTACCCCACCCATCTCACATCCCTAGGCGATGTGAGACCTTATGGGGAAGATCTTCCCCTCTTCTTTCCTTAAGCTGGCTGCTGGACACACCAGATATGGGGCTGAACAACATTTTGGCTCCTTGTATGTCCCTGCTGCGCAGCGCTGAGGATGCAGGGAAGGGCTTGCTCATGCTGGAGCAGACCCTGGCCAGGGAGGCAGATGGGTTTTCCAAGTGTGGAGGTCAAGCACTTGTGCTTTGCACAGAGCCCCACAGGCCCATCCTCCCTCCTGCACCCTCTCCCCTTTGCCCCTGGTCCTTCTTGGCCAAAAATGGGTGGAAGATGCCTGGCGGCCCCTCCGCTTACCAGCATCACTCACCGAGCCGAACGCACCATCTCATCCCTTGCCGCAGCCTTGACGATGGTCCTGGCGGTCGTCACGCTCACCTCCTCCCCGTCTACCACAAACCTCCGGGTTTTCTTGACCGTCCTTCGGAGCAAGGCAGGTTCCTGCAACTGGGAGCAAAGGTTTGAGCTCAGATGGCCCAAGACTACATAAACCCAACATGGGAGCCCATGCAAGGGGCACAGCTTTACATGGCCACGTTACCTGCAAGCTTCTCACCTGCTGGGCTTCCCTGGCAGAGGGGAAAGGCTGCGGTGCTGCAGGGAGGGCGCTTGGACCTTGTACATCTGCAAGGTTTTTCACAGGGGATGGGTCCTCTCCTTGCTTTGACGTGATGGATGGATCTGGTGTGTTCCCTGCTTCCCACACTGCCCATGCCTGGGAAGAGGTGTGAACAAGGGTGGCATCAAAGCTCACGGTCTTTGTGGCATTTGGATGTCCACCAAAGGCCTCCTGGGGCTCTGGCACTGCTCCATGACCCTCCAAGTCACCCATCTCCTCTCCAGGTCCATCCCTTGATGGCTTTTCAGGAGCGGGAGCAACGTGCACCCCTTCTCCAAGCTCTCCATCATTTCCATCTTGTCCTCTCCAGCCATTCCCATGAGAAGCCCTTGGCTGGTTGTTTCTGGGGTTGCTTTCCACTTTCTCTTCTGTTTCTTCAACAGGCCCCAGGATCTCCCCAGGGGACGAATCCTCCACTGAATTTTGGGCCTCCTCGCTTGCTGGTCCTTCTCCTGCACACGCTGCAGAGGCTGCCTCCAGTTCCTCTCCTGCCAGCATCCCTTCCCCCGGGCTGGCTGCATCTCCCGCTGCATTACGGTCTCCAGTCAAACACCCTTTTACATCCTCTTCCAATTTCACTTCTGCTGGCACCAGGGCTTCCTCGGGAGAAGTTTTGGCCCCAGTTTCAACATCGTCTGTGGCTTCCTCCTCATTCCTCCCCACCTCCCACTCAGCAAGGTCCAGGGGGTCAGTGATGGGCTCGCACACGGCTGAGTTTCTCTCCTCACCATTCCTCACTCCCGCGGGGGGCTCCTGCCACCCCTTGAGCATGTCTGACCCCACCACTACCTCCTCCGTCACACTGGGCATCAGCGGTTCTTCACTCCATGGCACCCTCTCCTCCACTGGCTCAGTCTCCCCAGACTCTCCAGCACCCTCAGGTCCCATGGGTGCCATCCCTGCTCCATCGCTATCCTTCTCAAGGCCACCTTCAGCCCCAGTGGGGCCAACCTCAAACCTCAGGTCTAGCAACGACCAAGTAACCCGGTGCTGATGCTCTGCCAGCCACTTGAAGCTCTGGGTTTTGGTCCCCATCGTCCACAAGTCCAGCGCTGCCACCAGCTGCCCCACGGCCGAGCCTCTGCACCAGTCCCCACCCATGGGTGCAGGCAGGGCCAGCAAGGTATGAGTAGGGTCTCTGCTTGACTCCTTTTTTGCATTGCTTTTGGGGTTCAAAACAGGGCTCAGCTGGGATGCAAGCCATCCCTCTGCGGGCATTTTGGCCACGGGTGGTGCGTCAGCACCTTGGCTTTCCTCCTGGGGTTCTGCCTTAGGTCCAACCTGCTTCAGCTCTTGAAGTTCAGCAAGGTCTCCTGCCCGCCGTGGCCACGAGGGGAGCCCAGCCATGTTGCAGGGCATCCCCAGCGAGCTGCTCTCCTCCTCTGGACACCCTTGAACTTCTCCACCTGCCTCTGCTGGGACTGATGTCCCCTGAGGAGCATCCAGCACCGTCTTCTCCAACCCACTCGTCTCTGCTCCGTGCTGCTCCTTAGCTGTTTCTTGGGACTTCATCCCTCCAAAAAATGACCTGCGCCGCATCAGCTTCAGAAACTCGGACGGCCTCTTCGCAGGGAGCCTCACGGAGCCTGCCGGCTCGGGCGAGGACCTCCTCCTCATTTGCTTCAAGAAGTTGGATGCTCTCTTGGTCCTGGGCTCTGCCACCACCTGGACGTCGGATGGGACATGCGGCTCCTCACTGCCTCTCCCCTCGGCGTCCAGGGGCTGCGGCTCCAGGGACCCCCCTGGGGTCAGGGGGCAGGAGGACCCTCCATGCTCCTGCCCAGGCTGTGGGGTGGACAATGGGAGAGGAGGTGAGGCTCAACGAGCTCATGGAAAGGGTTGGAGGGATCTTGCACCCCAGCTGGCTGCTACTCACGCACCAAGGGGACCAGATCTCCCTCCTCATCCTCTTCCTCCAGCACATCAGCCCGGGCTTCAGCCACCAGCTCCCGGAGTGGCCGCTTGTCAGAGATGCCCGCCACAAACGGGTGCTGGGTAGGAGCAAGGGAGGTGATCAGGACCAGCACCTGGGATGGGTCCCACCACCCTGGGCAGGTGGCAATGGGTGCTACCCACCTGCAGGAGCTGGCTGGCCGACCACCGCGCCTCAGGGCTCTTCTCCAAGGATTTCCTCAGGAAATCCTTGAAGTCTTCAGACCTGTGGGATGGCTCCTGTGAGCACAGGGCCAGAAGCTCCCCATCACCCCCACAGAGCCTGGGACACTCCGGCTCTGCTAGCACCTTGGCAGGAGGTCCCCGCCCCAGTGCTGCCCACTGGTGCCACCTTCTGCGGGCAAAAGTGGTGTGATGGGTACCCATGGTACCACCTCTGGAGCTGTGCTTGGAGGAATCACAACCAGCATCACTTATGGTCCAGGAGCCCGCCCCAGCTGCCCAGACGTGGCTTCAAGCAGGAGCTGCCCCATGGAACAACCCCACCGGTGTTGGAGTGACCTCTCCGCACGGGGACTCACCACCTCTTGGGGTGACGCAGGGTGGGCGGCTGGGACTTGGCGATCTTCAGCAGCACCCGGAGGGGGTTCAGCTCGTGGTAGGGGGGCTCCATCTCGGCCATCTCGATCAGCGTGATGCCCAGTGACCAGATGTCAGCCTTGTAGCCGTAGGGGCTCTCCTTGGATGTCTCACACTGCACCACCTCCGGGGCCATCCTGCGCATGGGGAGAGGGGAAGAGGTCCAGCTTGCCCTGGGCCGAGGGCTAGTGTCTCCCCCTGAAACCAAACGCAGGTGCCATCCCCTCCAGAGACAACCCTACAGGCAGAAGAGGTGAGGTTCGACCCCAACTCCTCCAACGCTAGCCCAGGAGGGCTTGCACCCACCAGCACCCCACATGTCCTCTCCGTGGAGTCTCACCCTACAGAGAAGCCCACCCTGGAGCCGGTGTTGGCTGGAGGAGAAAAGATCTGGTTTCTTGAGATGTTCCTGGTGTCAAGGAGCCGCAGGAGGAGCGGGATACCTGGGCTCCCCCAGCCCACGCTCCCAAATCCCACCGTCCCCAGGCATTTCTGCCCCACACCTACCAGTACGGGGTGCCGATGAAGGACACCCGGCGCTGGACGGTGCTGGAGTTTTTGGCCGAGACACCGAAATCGGCTGCAGAGCAGAAAGCGGCTGTGAGAGAGGATCCCTGGAGCAAAGCATCCCTGCGGCTTCGCTCCCGGCCTCCCTCTGCCCCGCGGGGCCCCTGGGACTCACCCAGCTTGACGTCCCCGTCGAGGGTGAGCAGGACGTTGCCAGCCTTCACGTCCCTGTGGATGATCTTGCGGCCGTGCAGGTACTGCAGTGCCAGCAGCAGCTGCTTGCAAGCCGCTCGGATCTGCTCCTCCGTCAGCCCTTTCTCCAGCTCTGCCGTTAGCGCCAACGAACCCTGTCGCTAACGATGCCCGGCACCCCCGCAATCCCGGGGGGTGCCCAGGGGAAGATGCACCCCAACCCATCCTCCCTCCTGGAGACGCTGCGCAAGCCCAGGACTCCCTTCCACGCCGTGAAATTTGGTGATCTCACCCCAGACCCTCTGAGCGCCGCGCACCGGCCGGAAAAAAAACATCTGTTTACCCAAAATCGC